TTGTGTCCGATCATATTTTGCTTTCTATGGTGTTTACAACTGCCAACGTTGCGTTTGATAACTTGCCATATATTTCAGTATCTGTAGCTAACGAGAACGTACTGTGAGTTGGGAGTTGGAACGTGACAAAACCCAAGACTTAAAAATTGCATACGTAAGCCATTACTGCGAGTCCGGATCTAGTGACTAAGGGGGGTCCTTAGTCATTTGACTAAGCCCCCCTCAGCATTTGGATTGATCTGATGGTCCAGATAAATCTATTAATTATTATTAAATGAGAAGGGTAGTTTTGGCATTATTAATAAATTATTAACTTCTATTTTTTGATTTTGTTTTATTTATTATTATTGAATTCTTTTTTTCCATCTGCAACACGTCTCTTCCCTTTCCCTTTTTTGCAATGTCCAGAGAGAGAGAGAGAGAAAGCCTGGGGGAGGAGGAGAGAGAGAAAGAGAAAGGCGGCGGCGCTACGCTGGAGGAGATCTCGACGGCAACGCCGGCAATGGAGATCTCGACGGCAACGAAGACAATGGAGGAGATCGGCGCCGACGACGGTGGAGAGAGGGAAAGGAGATTGTGATTTTTCCTCCATCCATCCTCTTCTGCGTTGCCATTGCAGGCCATAGGAGAGAGAGAGAGAGGCAGCGAGGAGAGAAGGACGACGACGGTGGAAGAGAGGGGGGCGACGGCGAGGAGATCTCAACGGCGCCGGCGACGATGGAGAGAGGGCAAGACGACTACGACATAGGCTGTGGTAGAGAGAGAAATTAGATTTGGCCGTTGTCGGGAAAACAGAGGAGAGAGAGAGAGAGACGATGGTGGAGGAGAGAGAGAAAGGGGCAATGGCAGAGAGAGCTCGACGATGGTGGAGGAAAGAGAAACGGCGCGATGATGGAGAGAGAGAGAGAGGTCGCGACGGCTGTAGAAAGAGTCAGCGGCGGCAGCGGTGGAATACAATTTGTCGTCTGAAGGAAGAACAATGGTTTGTAATGAAAGTGTTGTTAGTTTGTATCATTAGTACTTTTGTACATAATGTCAGTATGATTTGTATAGTTTTTATGTTTTGTAATATTCATTTGTATACTTTATATGTATTGATTTGTGATGCAAATCACGTTTGTTTGTATTGTAAGTACTAATAATTTGTATACTTTATATGTATTGATTTGTGATGCAAAAAACATTACAAACATTGTTGACAAAAATGACAAACATGGTGGACAAAAATAACAAAGATTACAAACAATACAAAAGAAACCAACAAACATTACAAAAGAAACCGACAAACAGTACAAAGCATATTACACGAACAGAATATCACTACTTACAATACATATTGGTAAAATTGCATTACAAACAAATGAATACAAAGTATACAAATCATAACATAAAAGTATACAAACTAGAGCAACAAAAATTACAAATTACAATATATCCAAAATAGTCATACAAAGATTACAAACAATACAAAAGAAACCAACAAACATTACAAAATAACAAACACTACAAAAGAAACCAACAAACAGTACAAAGCATACTACACGTACAGAATATCACTACTTACAATACAGATTGGTAAACTTGTATTACAAACAAATGAATACAAAGTATACAAATCATAACATAAAAGTATACAAACTAGAGCAACAAAAATTACAAATTACAATATATACAAACTAGTCATACAAAGATTACAAACAATACAAAAGAAACCAACAAACATTACAAAATAACAAAAGCGTACAAACATTACAAAATATATCAACAAACATCACAAAATTAGCACTGTCGCCGGGAAATTCTTCTCCGTCGACGGTGGGTGGTCGTCGGAAAAAAAATTTCCGACCAGAAAATCTCTCTCTCTCTCTCTCTCTCTCTCTCTCTCTCACCATGTGGGAAGCCACAAACTGTTACATATCACGTGTTTCTTGGTTGTCAAGTAAACCCAAGTGTCCTAGTCCATATTGTTCTCGAGTTGTTTTATTGGGTACTTAACCAGTTCCTTACACGCCCCCTCAAACGAAAGCCGACTCATGGGCTTGAAGTTTGCACAGGCCCGCCATACCATGTGCTTGAAAGACAACGATTAATATTGGGGGTCGTGAGGACTTGAACACGTGACCTCAAGGACAACCAGCTCTGATACCATGTAGAAATCAATACGCGGAAATAAACCAAGCACACAACACAGACGATTTACGTGGTATCCTCGTTCTAGGTGAACGAGACTAATCCACGGTGAGCTCGAAGGAGCTCACGACTGAAATTGATATTGATTTGATGACTCTGCTGCTTGCTTGCGACACACCCGCAGCTTAGCTTATATATATATATATATATGACTAGGGCAACTCACAAACCCTAAAACCGAACAGCTAAGGGACAGCTAAGTGTTCTCATTAACCATAAGACAACTCGAGAACAATATGGACTAGGACACTTGGGTTTACTTGACAACCAAGAAACACGTGATATGTAACACAAACAAATGGGGAGATATAAATCCCATATCCCTCCCGCAGGAACAAAATTCCTGGTCGGCGGCGCATCCCAATCCCTGGCCGCCGGTGCTGACTGGGACGCCGGGAACCCAGGTGGAACCAGGGGCGGAGCTAGGATCTAGTGGTCGGGGGGGCCGGACTTTATTGTATAATATTCGTAAAAATATTAAGAAAATATTTACATTATGAGTCATAAGCTTCAAAATTTAATTATCTAGACTCCAAAATTTAATTATCTAAATTAGAAAAATATTATAAGCTCCAAAATTTCATTATCTAGTTTGAACTTTGAAATTAAAAAGTATTTGAATAAGTACAAAAGTTAAGTGATCAATCTAAATTTTAAACAAAAATTCAACCAAAGTTGGAAAACTAAAAAAACAATGTTGCTGCCAGGGATTGAACCATGGTACTGGGTATTCACAAATAAAAAGCAGCAGCATTCCGTTAGACTAGACCCAAACATTGTTGCTCATTATTGCACGTTATTGTTATTCTACAATAGTTAACTTCTTCAGAATTTTCAAAATTCCCGTTATTTTTACACGCGATCTTCAAATTCTCGGGGGGGCCGGGCCCCCCCCGAGACACAAGGTAGCTCCGCCCCTGGGTGGAACGAAAATTACAGGCCGCCGATGATGCCCGACGGCGGAAACCCAGCCAGGACAAACACGCAAGTATTTTAGGTTTTTTTAATTAATAATTGAAAATTAATAAATCATGCAATTACTATAATGTCCTTCATTAAATTGAATTAATCTGACCTCTTGGATTTTAATGAGGTTGAGTGGCTGAGATTCATTTAGTCATGTGACTAGGGGACCCCTTAGTCACCTGATGTTAGCCCATTACTGCTCCTACCGGCGCGCCGTGTACCAACCGTGGGCAGGATCATGAAGAACAGAGAGCCAAATAAACAAAAAGGAAAGAAGCAGCAGGAGGAGCTGTCACTGTCAGAGTTCCTAATTATGAATGACGTTACCAAATTCAGTTTTTTCTCTCCTCATCGGCGGCGTGGGTCAGTGGTCGCCGATGACGACATCCACCCGACGTTGCAGTATCATGAGCCGGCCAGATGGTGCCACGTGGCTTGCATGCACGCCTCTATCATCCCCACCACCATATGGCGCTGTGGCATCCTTCACCGGAACAGGATTAACAGGGACACGTGGCGGGTGGTTGAGGCGCCCACGTGGCGAGATACTGTTCGTTGATTAAAAATAGGGGAAAACCGTGCTAATTAATTAATAGCCATTATACTCCTCGAGAGCGGCAGGCCTCATGTGTTGTTGTTTCCTGTGACTAGTACCTTGAGTTTCTTCTCATACTCCAAATGACATCCCTTTCATTTCATATCATCTATTATTACCAATTTGCAATATAGTGTTTAACCAACTTGTTGACACCAACAGCGTGTTGAACTCCTGGGCAAAAATTATGGCGTTAGACCATATATTTCACAAGAACTGTACGTGAAGGTTTATTTGATGCCGCACTTAGCATGGTTTGTGTAAATTTTATTGTTGGATTAAAGGCGTTGTTTGGCGAACAGGTTGGATTGAAATATTGAGTGAGTGGATAGTAGCGATGGCAATGGGCGAGGTTGGTACCTTAATATTTATGTCCCGCCTCATGCTACTACGGGTCGGGGCTGGTAATACTTATGTGAGTATGGGGCGGGGCGCGTCGACCCACTTTTACATGTTATTTGAAAAAAACACATGCAAAATTTTACTTTTTACGATAAAACGAAGGGAAAAACATTTTATGAATAAAATATAGAATGAGTAATTGAGTCTAACTAGTTGAAAGATCGAGTTCAACTAGTTGAAGAAAAATCAAAATAGAAGAAATATGAATAGATACTGCAAGAAATTGAGATAAAATGGGTCAAGAACGGGGCAGGGCGGGGCAGGACAAGACGGGTTGTAAAAAGATACCTATAATTCGTCTCATGCTATTGCGGCTCGGGTAATCACCCTATCTCGAATCAGATTTGATAATATCAGCAGGACAAATTCAAATTGCCATCACTAGTGGATAGTGTGTTGTCCTATTGCAAAAGAAGTTATAAATTTTTCAAGGTTCACTTATGCGAATTGGAAGAGGGTGAAGGAACAAGTATTTAATTTCTCAAGTTTCTTGGATTTATGTGATTGTTCTCGTTAAACAGGTGACTAGGAAACTTGTAAAATAGGAAAGTCCGATTTATATATACTCATGAAAAAATGTGGGCCCATCAATTACAAGTAATTCGAGGATTAATAAGTGAATAGAGATGTATTCGAAATAAATAGATTAAATATCTTAATTATCATAGATTTATTAGTTCGAATTCCCTAAGAAAGCAACGCTTGGGATGACGATAAATGAGTTTAGGTATCAAAGTGTCATATAAGTTTTAAGCCAGGTATCAAAACAATATTTGTGGACGGGACGGGACGGGGATAATATCAGAAAAATCTAGAGAAGCCTATAAATATCTCTCTCATTATTCATTAGTCTTTCTCAAAGATTCGATCATTTTCCTTACCTTTTTCCTTCCCCAAGAGTAAACTCTCTCTCAAGCTCTCGCCAAAACCAAGAGTAGAAAAAACCTGAAACACCAAATCGGAAGATCAATTTATAACGAAAGAGCAGAGATTAATCGTTGGGCGGCTGAGAATTTGATCTGAAGAGAACGCCAGACTGGTTTCCGCTCGAGCTTGGCTTCTTTTCGTGCTCGCTTGCTTCATTGCATGACCTCTGAAAGATCTCACAGGTTAGTTCGTCGATTCCTTCCTTCCCGATTCGTTGTTTTTGTTGTTTTCCTCCATTTTAGGGTTCAAGGTTTGCTTGTCGGAGTCTCTTCTCGATTAGGGGCTTGAATTGTATTGGTTGATAACTCCCTCTCTGATTTCGGGTTCTGGGTTTGCATCAACCCGGTAGACATTTGGGGATTAGGGTTCGAACATTCGTCCTTCCAATTCATTGCATTAGGAGCAATTAGGAACAATTCGTTTTCCTGCTGTTTGGTCTCCGAGAAAAGGCGTCTAATGTTCTAGGCTTCTCCAGAGTTTAAAGTAGCTTAGCGCCGAAGATTCATTGGCACGAAGAATCGATAGTTACTACTTATAAGCTAGTTTTGGACTATTCCCTTGCTTGGGGCTCAAGGGAGAAAGGCTTTTATTAGTAAATTGTTACCCGAAATGCTCGCTGGAAAATGGGTAGATGGCAAAATAAAAACGGAAACTAACAACTGGGTTCCAATACTTCGGCTGCAAGTAATTTGAGTGTGTACACGGGTTAAATTCAACATATTTAAGAAGCTATCTCCTTATCCCTCTCTCATAGAGATATCCTGAACCGCGATTGGCTTCTTTCTGCAGATCTCCTGTTGACAATATCTCTGACATGGGTGGCTTGGATCCAGCCTCTACAGCAGCTTGCTCGGATTCTACAAGGAAGAGGAGACGAAGAACAGGAACTGAATCTGTTGTGGAGACTCTTAAAAAGTGGAAGCAGTACAACGAGTATCTCGACACTTGCGCGGATGGAGCCGCTGGCAAGAAGTCTGGGCGAAAAGCTCCCGCCAAGGGCTCGAAAAAGGGATGTATGAGAGGTAAAGGCGGGCCCGATAATTCGCACTGCAAGTACAGGGGTGTTAGACAGAGGACGTGGGGTAAATGGGTAGCAGAGATTAGAGAGCCCAATAAAGGTCCTAGATTGTGGCTTGGCACTTTCCCTACTGCTTATGAAGCTGCTCTAGCCTACGATGATGCTGCCAGAGCCATGTATGGTCCTTACGCCAGGCTGAACCTTCCAGATATCTCTAGGGCCCCGACTACCAGTACATCGAATGGTTATTCTGCGGCAACACCATCTGGTGGGTACTCTACGATTAGTACTACTACATCATCCAACCATTCTGAGGTTTGTGAGAACGAAGATGATGCCAAGGTCTTGGTGGTTCCTGATGTTGAGGGTGAGTCGAAGGCCACGGCTCATGGGTTGGATGAGGTTTCATCTTCGGATCCTTGTAAAGAAGAGCCTCTGTTGATAGACAAGAATGGGGATTTTGATGAGGACCAGACGAGCCTGAAACCGGAAGTGAAAGAGGAGCCCTTGGATGTGAAAGACTATGAGTGTCATGACTTCACGATGGATGAGATGTTTAGCATTGACGACTTACTGGGTGCATTGGAGAATCAGCCACTCGAAGGGGCAGTAAACAACCAGATGCAGGAGCATGATGCTAGATTCATTGGTGGTTCGCAGCACAAGGAGCCAGCACCATTGATCCTTCCTGCTGCTGAGGATTTCTGCTTCGACTTTTTGGAGCCTGGGAGGCAGGAGGACAATACTGTCACCGTTGATGACCAGGGTTACTTGAGCCTGGGCTTGGCCGACTTGGGGTTTGAGGATCTGTGATGGACAAAATGTTTTTATCTTAGTTTTCTTTGTTCTACACGGTTTGCTTCCCTGTCCTTCCAATGCGTTTTTTTCTTGAGGGAGTTGATTCTCTACGAGCTTTTTAGGGACTACAGAAATTGGCTGCTGATTTTGCCTTGATTTCTTCTTCTCTCTTTCTAACTTCTGCTGCTTCTGTAGATCGTGCTTTTGCAGTGGTTAGAAAGATTTGACTTAGACTTTGAAGATGTTTAATTGTTTACTGTAGATTCTATCTGAAAAGGTGTTATCAGAGTAGCAAGTGAGGGTTGTACTTGTATATGACGTCGACTTGAGAGGAATATGGGTTCTCGAATAAATTGACAGGTATGATGCCTGCTTCCGATGTATGAGTTTCTGATTTCCTTATGTCATATAGCCTTCAGAAAATCCAGTGGTTTTGAATCATCATTCCGTGAGACTCGTCACCATCGGCTTGCAGTTACTGGTTGCTGCCTTACAGGCACGGTGTCGGATGATGGATGGAGCAATCGCAGCAGGATCGCACCAACAGATGGAGAAGAAGATGCTAGCAATGAGACAATAGTGATGCTGCTACTGCTAACACGGCTGAAAGCCTGAAACTCTCATGAATAGGCTCTCCAGGAAGTGAGAACAATAGCATTAGCATAAACACTCTGCACAGACAGCGTTGGACAATGGTTCTTATAATTTCTTCTTTGTCTGAAACTCGAAAATACCTGGCTTGAATTTAAGAAATACAGCACAAATAATGACACAGATCTCTGTTAGGGACTATTCTAGCAAGATTAGACACAAATCAAGATAACAGGAAAGTGAATAAAAACCGCAAGTACTTCACCTTGTAGTGTAGATGGAGGAGCAAGAATGGTGAGTAATTTTTGCTTTTCGTTTACGACAATTTGCCGAAATTATTAGTATCCGCGATTAAGGAAAGTAACATCACCCCAATGAATGTGGCCTAATCATTTTATATGAAAGAAAGTAAGAAATCGAAATAAGGCCGAGTCCAATGGGTTCGCTAAATATGGGGAAAAACGGTAAATATGGGAAATTCTCTTCTTCAGTGGAATTTTATTTGGCAACCGGCGTCATTTTTGGCTAAAATCGACAAATGAATCGTTATATTTGGGGAACGTTTTGCCGATTCTCGGGAACGCCGAACGCCCAGCTCCTTTTTTTTATTTTATAAATTAATGGTTGTTTGGGGTTAAATTTGGGATAATTTGTGTGAACCGAAATTAGGTCAATTATTTTTTGCCAAAAAAAAAAATTTGGTGTCGGAATTTAAACAAATTTTGTCAAAAAAATTATATTTAAAAATGATGACGAACTATACAAAATTTAATATGAATAAATCATATTAAGGTTTTCATAAGTACATTTTTATGTAAACGGAAAATTAAAAAAAGGGAAGATTCACAAATTTGAAGAATGTAACATTGGAGCAAAAGATAATAAAATAGGAATAAGGTCTCCAAATTTGAGTACTCGCATTGCCTTCAACTTGGTCCAAAGGAATCAAAAGAAAGTATCCCAACTTTAGAGACAACTTGGATAGCTCAAACCAAAGTGGAAACGTTCCACAAACCTCTTCATTAGAGATGGTTCTGTCCTTGTTCCAATCTGTGTTCTCCATATCTGAGCTTGCTCTTCAGGGTTCGGGTGTTGCAACTTGGAGCATCTCCATCATTGTTTGGCGGTTTGTTGTCCTTCAAGTGTGGTGTGTTCATCATTTTGATGTAGCGTCGTTGGAGAACAAACTAAAGGAAGTTGTCCGAGTCGAGAAGGAGCGGGAGCTGGCGGGAGTCGACTAGGCCCGCATGGCGTGCATGGCCATGGCCCTTGTTATTTTTAATTGTTCTTGTTTTAATTATTTTAGTTATCCTAGACAGTAGCGGGAAGGGATAGCTGGGCTATAGTATTTAAGCCCTTGTTTACACGTTGAGAACACATCTTTTGCTTGAATTAAAACTTAACCCTAGTGGGAGTTTCTCTGGTGGATTTCCAGAACCCTATTCAAGTTTGCGGTTGGCAATCTTTGTGTGTGTTTGGCTTTGTGATTGCAAGCCGATTGTTATTTCCGTATGCGTCAGGTGGTATCAGAGCCTGGTTTTCTCCTATCTCTTTTCTAAGCTTGCACAGTCATGGGAGATCAACCGGTCACACGCGCGGACATCGAAGCGATCACCACGGCTTTTACCACGGCGATCACAACCTTGACAACACAAGTGACGAATTTGGCGGCTCAGGTGAACAACAATCGGAACATGAGGGAGAGGGGCAGGAGAGTCGAGCGTGAAGAACGTCCTAGGAGGGCGCGTGGTGCTCTACCTGATTCTGATTCTGGTTCGGATGAAGAGGTCCAGGACGGGGACCAGGATCATGATGATGACCGACAGAACCGCAATGACTATCGAGTGAAGGCCGATATTCCGTTGTTCTACGGAACCATGGGAGTCGAGGAATTCCTAGACTGGCAGATCTACGTCGATCGTTTTTTTGACGTCATGGAGGTACTTGAAAGTAAGCAAATTAAGATGGTGGTTGTCAGGTTGAAGAGCACTGCAGCTGTGTGGTGGGATAAACTGGTCGTCCAACGACAACGCCAACGAAGGGCCCCCATCCGATCGTGGAGACGGATGAAACAGCTGATGATGGAGCGTTTCCTTCCGGAGGATTATGAGCAGATTCTGTACAAGATGTACCTCGATTGTGTGCAAGGAAGAAGAAGTATTACTGAATACACCACTGAATTCTTGCGTTTTGCTGAACGCAACGAGTTGGGAGAGACGGAAGGACAAAAGGTCGCTCGCTATATTAACGGGTTGAAAGGGTCAATACAAGAAAAAATGGGGTTACAGACCGTATGGACAGTGGCTGAAGCTTCTACCTTGACCATGAAACCTGAACTAATGGAGAAGTCCCCTAAACACTTTGCTCCGTTTCGACGGTTCCCTTTGCAAGGAACAAGTGAAATGATAGGTGACAAGGACAAAGCGGTCACCACTAGTGAGCGAACTCCGCCTGTAAAAGGCAGTGGTGGTGCGGGAAGTTCTGCCCCAAATAAAGGACCGCCACCACGAGCTACAAACCCATATGCAAGGCCAACTGGTGACAAGTGTTTTCGATGCGGCGGGCAAGGACATAGATCCAATGTTTGCCCTTCCCGGAAGACAGTTGCAGTGCTTCAGGATGAACGCGACCAGGAAGAGGAAGATAATGAATATGCCGATGTTGAGTTTGCTGAAGAAGAATCGGGGGATGCGGTCAACATTGTTCTGCAACGGGTCTTGTTGTCGACATAGATGAAGGACAAAGGAAGAATCTATTTAGGACCCATTGTTCTATTTACAACAAGGTTTGTAATCTCATTGTTGACAACGGCAGTACAGAGAATTTGGTCTCACAAAAGCTTGTGTCATATCTTGAGTTGCCAACAGAGCCTCACGCGAAACCTTATGCTTTGGGATGGGTGAGCAAAGGGCCACAAGTTAAGGTCACGAAAACTTGCAAAGTTCCAATCTCTATTGGGAAGCACTATAAAGAAGAGGCGGTGTGTGATGTGCTAAACATGGACGTGTGCCACGTCCTCCTCGGGCGTCCTTGGCAGTATGACCATGACACCATGTATCGAGGAAAGGATAATGTGATGATGTTCACGTGGGACGGGCACAAGATCGCCATGGCACCGGTTTCAAGCTTCACGAAACCGCCCGGGAAAACAAAATCAAGCTTCCTCATAATGACAAGGGATGAACAAGAGTTGCGGGACGCATTCCAGGAGTCTGGGTTGATCTGCCCAGTGGTGGTCAAGGGATTAATAAGTGTCGCAACAACTGAACCCACCACTCCAGTTAAGGTCCACAAAATTTTGAAGGACTTTAAAGAGTTGATATCAGACAAGCTGCCTAGCGCATTACCTCCCATGCGCGATATCCAATACCAGATCGATCTGATCCCGGGATCCAGTTTACCCAACCTGCCTCATTACCGCATGAGCCCGAGAGAAAACGATATATTGCGCGAACAAATCGAGGACCTCCTAAGGAAGGGTTTCATTCGGGAGAGTATGAGTTCGTGCGCAGTCCCGGTACTACTTGTTCCGAAGAAAGGGAATCAATGGCGCATGTGTGTAGACAGCAGAGCTATCAACAAAATCACCACCAAGTATCGGTTTTCAATTCCACGCCTTGAAGATATGCTTGATGAACTGGCTGGTTCGAAGGTGTTCTCCAAGATTGATTTACGCAGCAGGTACCATCAGATTCGAATTCGACCGGGCGATGAATGGAAAACGGCATTCAAAAGTAAAGATGGTCTCTATGAATGGTTGGTTATGTCGTTCGGCTTGTCCAATGCCCCGAGCACTTTCATGCGGCTGATGAACCAGGTTCTTAGCCCTTTTATTGGCTCTTTTGTGGTGGTTTATTTTGATGATATACTAATTTACAGCAAATCTAAGTCCGATCATATAGTCCACATTCATCGGGTGCTTCAAGCCTTGCAGGAGAATGAGTTATATATTAACCTAAAGAAGTGCACTTTCTGCACAAACAAGCTTTTGTTTTTGGGTTTTGTGGTGGGTGACGAAGGAATACAGGTGGATGAGGAAAAGGTACGGGCTATTCGGGATTGGCCCACGCCAACAACAGTGACCGAGATCAGGAGCTTCCATGGCTTGACTACCTTTTATCGCCGATTTGTTCGTGACTTCAGCTCCATCACTGCACCCATTACCGAGTGTTTGAAGAAAGGGAAGTTCAACTGGGACCCAGCACAGGAGAGCAATTTAGAGTTGATAAAGGAGAAGCTATGCACTGCACCCGTCCTCGCCCTCCCGGATTTCGATAAAATCTTTCAGGTTGAGTGTGACGCTAGCGGCGTTGGGGTGGGTGCCGTCCTCTCTCAAGAAAAACGACATGTTGCTTTCTTTAGCGAGAAATTGAGTGACGCCCGCCAGAAGTGGAGCACTTATGATCAAGAGTTTTATGCTGTATTTCGTGCACTCCGACAGTGGGAGCATTACTTGATCCAGCGGAAGTTCATTCTCTTTACTGACCATCTTGCACTGAAATTTCTCCATAGTCAGAAGATTATCAATAAAATGCACGCTCGATGGGTGAGCTACTTGCAGAAGTTCCCTTTCATCATCCAACACAAGTCGGGTGCCCAGAATAAGGTGGCGGATGCACTAAGCCATCGAGCTTCCTTGCTGGTTACGTTGGCCGAAGAGATAGTGGGTTTTGAATTCCTCAAAGATTTATACGCCACTGACCTTGAGTTCAAAGAAGTATGGTTCACCTGCACGCAAAAACACCCACGCGATGACTTTCATGTTCGCGAGGGGTACCTCTTTAAGGGTGATCGCGAGGGGTACCTCTATCAAGTTGTTTTTCAAGGAGATCGTGCGCTTGCACGGCAACCCGAAATCCATTACATCTGATCGCGATACCAAATTTCTTAGCCATTTCTGGATTAATCTCTGGCGGATGTTTGATACTACCTTGAACTGGAGTTCCACAGCTCACCCCCAAACAGATGGGCAAACCGAGGTCACCAATCGTACACTGGGCAACATGATTAGAAGTGTGTGTGGCGACAAGCCGAAGCAATGGGATTTGGCTCTGCCCCAGGTTGAGTTTGCGTACAATAATGCAGTCCACTCGGCTACTGGTAAAACACCCTTCTCTCTTGTTTATACTTCCCCTCCGCGGCATGTCGTTGATCTGGTTGACCTTCCCAACACTCCGGGCGTTAGCCAGGCTGCCGAAAACATGGCGAGGGATGTGCAAGCTGTGAAGGCCGCTGTTAAGGCCAAGCTTGT